CAGCGGACTTCCACCTTGTCTAAGAGCTGTAGCTGCAGCCGCCCTGCTAGTAGCTGAAGCCGATAAACTCACTCTGGGTCAAGAACTTTATGTACGAGTTCCACATGCAGTACAGACGTTGTTGGATTACAAAGGAAATCATTGGTTTAGTAACAGCCGTATGACCAAGTATCAAGCAATGTTGTGTGAAAACCCAAGAGTGCATTTAGAGACTGTAAATACCTTAAATCCAGCTACCCTTTTGCCACAACCTACTGAAAGTCAACATGATTGTTTGGAAGTAATGGATGAAGTATTTTCAAGTAGACCAGATCTTCGTGATTTTCCCATCCAGAACCCTGATGTTCAATATTACACCGGCGGCAGTAGTTATGTAAAAGAAGGGATCCGCTATGCAGGATATGCAGTAACAACGATAGACAAGGTGATAGAAGCTCGGCCACTGGCAAAAGGAACATCAGCACAAAAGGCAGAATTGATAGCACTGACACGAGCGTTACAATTGGCTGAAGGTTTAAGAGTGAACATCTACACGGACTCCAAGTATGCGTTTTTAACCACTCATGCCCACGGAGCTTTGTATAAAGAAAGAGGACTATTGAATTCAGAAGGCAAAGAAATCAAATACGCAGCTGAGATCCTACAACTATTGGAAGCAGTGTGGGAGCCGAAAGAAGTCGGTATTATACATTGTCGGGCGCATCTGAGAGGAGATGGTGATGTAACCAAAGGGAATCGGATGGCAGATAGTGCAGCTAAGCGTGCTGCTGAATCAGGAAGACAGGAATATGTGGGGCATATAGCTGCTCTTATACCAACTCCACTGTCTCAATGGACTCCAATTTATACAGCTCAAGAAGAGGAGTGGTTAAGGACTGAACCTGGAAAGTATTTGGAGAACAAATGGTATCAGTTAGAAGATGGAAGAATAGTTATTCCAGCATCACTAGCGGTAGAAATTGTCCAAAACTATCATAACGGGACACATTCTGGGAGACAGTACAGAAGAATCTCTCAGAAAACATTTCTACATACCAAGATTGTCCAACTTGACTCAGGCCATTGTACGTAGATGTGTAACGTGTGCTAAAAATAATGCAAGACAAGGACCAGTAAAGCCACCAGGAGTCCAGTTTATGGGGGGACTTCCCATGTCCGATTTACAAATTGACTATACAGTGATGCCTAAATCGGGTGGACATCGCTACCTGCTGGTAGTGGTGTGCACCTATTCAGGCTGGGTAGAAGCATGTCCTACTCGTACAGAGAAAGCAGGAGAAGTCGTGAGATTCCTGCTACGAGAAATAATACCCCGATATGGACTACCCTGCTCTATAGGATCGGACAATGGTCCAGCTTTTGTTCATCAGTGCCTACAACAATTGACTCATATGCTTGGTATAAAGTGGAGGCTTCATACGGCATATAGACCCCAGAGTTCTGGTAAGGTAGAGAGAATGAATAGAACTATTAAGAATCAGTTGGCTAAAATGTGTCAGGAAACCCAACTTAAGTGGAACGTTCTCTTGCCCATAGCTCTATTGCGAATCCGTAGTACACCTACCAGAAGGATGGGCCTCTCTCCTTTTGAAATCATGTACGGGCGACCACCTCCCGTGCTTGGTAACTTAAGGGGGGATTTGAGTCAGTTGGGAGAAGGAATTACCCGGCAGCAGGTTGTAGAGTTGGGTAAGACTATGGAGGAGGTACAGAAATGGGTACAAGATGATACCTGTGAATATTTATCCCCCAATTCATAGTTACCACCCAGGCGACCAAGTGTGGATTAAAGAGTGGAATAATGTGCCGTTAGGGCCCAAGTGGAGAGGTCCTTATGTTGTTCTTCTGTCTACCCCTACAGCGATAAAAGTAGCCGAAGTGGCTCCGTGGATACATCACTCCAGGGTTAAACCAGCAGCAGCCGATTCCTGGCAAGTTACAGCAAATCCAGAGAATCCCTGCAAGATCCGGTTAAAACGCACGACTCAGTGACGAGGAACCTTGTAGATTACAAATTTTATTGTTTCAGAGACTTGGTAAGTGAGTGAGAAGGCCATAATAAAGCCTGTCCACTCACCAACGAGTGTATAAGTCAGGGAAAGTCTTGAGGGGACCCCTGTGAAGACGAGCAGAACTCCATTCCCTGCAGTCCTTACATCCTGGAAGCTGAGGTGCCTTCACACGGACGAAGACTGAGGATGATGACGAAAGATGTATTTTTAATAATGTTTATTTATGTGTATTTTTATATTCAGGAAGGTAGAGGTACCAACACTCCTAGCTGTGAGGTATGCATTAAGAGTACTAGAACCATATATCCCAGACCCTAATTTGGCATTCGCAATATGAGTGTAAAGGAGATGTATCAAGATGTAGATACTTAAATATAGAATATAGTGTGTGTCATTTAGGAGTAGGAAAACCTAAGTGCTTCAGTCCTGAGTATCAACCCCGTACAATTTGGTTGACTCTCAGAAATGGAGATCCTCAGGGGACCCTAATTAATAAGACGGTATTAAAATCCGTATATTCTTCAGGTGCTCTGCTATTTGATGCGTGTAAAGCAATATCAAGTGGCAGAAAGCCGTGGAATGTATGTGGGGATCTTAGATGGGAGAGGACGTATGGGTCTAACGATAAATATATTTGTCCCAGTAGTAAAAATAAATATGTAAGTCCAAGATGCCCAAATAGAGATTATAACTTCTGCCCATATTGGTCTTGTGTGGGGTGGGCGACTTGGGGACAGACAGCAGACAAGGACATGATTGTGACTAAGTTGCCTACTGATCCATATTGTAAGTCTATGGAATGCAATCCAATCCATATACTTATAAATAACCCTGACAAGTTCTTAGATAAATATGGTAATTTATTTGGGTTTCAAATATATGGGACGGGTTTAGACCCTGGGACAATATTGTTTATAGGGATAGAGACTGATACGGTAACCTCCCAAACTCATCAAGTATACCATTCCTTTTATGAAGAGATGAGCATAGATAATAAGATCCCCCATAATGCTAAAAACTTGTTCATTGATTTAGCCGAGAGTATTGCCGGTAGTCTTAATGTTACCAACTGCTATGTGTGTGGAGGTACTAACATGGGAGACCAATGGCCTTGGGAAGCAAAGGAGGTAATGTCCGGTTCTGAGGCAGTTGACCAATTAATATCTACACAAGCCGACTATCATATGAGTGTTAGAGGTAAATCTGAGTGGAGATTGAAGACCTCCATCATAGGTTATGTTTGCATAGCGAGGAAAGGAATGATGTATAATACTTCTGTAGGAGAATTAACTTGTCTAGGGCAAAAAGCTTATGATGATGATACAAAGAATACAACTTGGTGGTCGGCTTCAAATGTCTCAGAACCATCTAACCCGTTTGCAAGATATGCCAATTTAAAGGACGTATGGTTTGATCTATCCATCACATCTAACTGGAGAGCCCCAGCGAATTTGTACTGGATCTGTGGTAAGAAGGCCTATTCGGAGTTACCACAGGACTGGGAAGGGGCATGTGTGTTGGGTATGTTAAAACCATCCTTCTTCTTGTTGCCTATTGAAACAGGTGAGACTTTAGGTGTTAAAGTGTATGATGTGAATCATAGGAAGAAAAGGGGACCCATAGAGATAGGTGCCTGGGAAGATAATGAATGGCCTCCCCAGCGTATTATAGATTATTATGGGCCAGCCACGTGGGCAGAGGATGGTACCTTTGGTTATAGAACCCCTATTTATATGCTCAACCGCATTATAAGGTTACAGGCGGTGGTTGAGATCATTACTAACGAGACATCACAAGCGCTCAATCTTCTAGCGAAGCATAATACCAGGATGAGGACAGCAGTTTACCAAAATAGATTAGCCTTGGATTATCTTTTGGCAGTAGAGGGAGGTGTATGTGGGAAGTTTAACCTGAGCAATTGCTGTCTTCAAATAGATGACGAAGGGCAAGCAATAGCTGAGCTTACTAGCCATATGGTTAAACTAGCGCATGTGCCTACTCAGGTATGGAAAGGGTACAATCCAAGTAGTTGGTTTGGTAGCTGGTATGAGTGGTTTGGAGGGCTTAAGGCAGTGGTAGGTGGAGTCCTACTGATTTTAATGTTGTGTCTACTCCTGCCGTGTCTTATACCCTTAGTAGTTAGGTCTGTGCAAAGCCTGATAGAAAATATAGCAGAGAGGAAGGCTGCTGCACAGATAATGGCAATTTATAAATATAAGGCTCTAGATCAGGGAGAACCAATGCAGGAAGACGAGTGTTGAAGATTCACATCATAGGATAAGTCTGGTCTGGTTCAAAGGTAACTTGTGGTGTATGCAAACCAAGGTTAAGTGATGCCTCAAGTAATTGTAAAATATCAAGAGGCATCAAAGGGGGGAATGTGGTGGAATCTCGGTAAAAATAAATTTAGTAGGCCGAGATTACCACGTGGCATGTGTACGTGCATATGCTGACGTATCGATCAGTTGGTTGCACGAGGCAAGATACGATCAGTAGTGTACGGAGCATGTGCAAGAATACAGGATGTAGTATTCCCCTCCTCCATTGTGCTGGACAAGCCATGCGGTCAAGCAGGAAGTTAATTCTTATTTGTAATGATTGGTCAAGAGAATGTGCGGGTGGAGCTTAATATGGGAGGAGTTATGTGCCTATATAGGGAGCCTGCACTATTGTTCAGGGCTCAGAACTTGCTGTATTTTTGGTGACATTAGTCCCTCTGAGTCCCGATCGGTGATCCAATAAAGAATCTCTTCCTTCCTGAAGAAACCTGTGTCCATCCCTCTGTGCTTTGCTTCCGTCAGTTTCTCCGGTATCAGTGCCTGTCAGCTTTTCTCAGGACAGCGAGTGAACATTTACACAGACTCACGATATGCTCATGGGGTAGTGCATGATTTTGGTGTGATCTGGAAACAAAGAGGTTTTGTAGGAGCCGATGGAAAAGCCATTTCACACACAAATCTCATCCAATCACTCCTAGATGCTATCATACTACCATCTGAAGTAGCTATTATCCACTGCAAGGCACACACTCTTGGTAGTGATGACATTTCAAGAGGAAATGCCTTGGCTGACAAAGTAGCAAAAGAAGCTGCAGCCAAGATTGTTTACTTTAAAATGTTTCCTGCTATGCTTAAACCACCCACATGCCCTACTGACAGTTTGCTTTTGCAGCTTCAAGCCTTTGCAACGCAATCTGACTTGGATTTTTGGATTAAACAAGGTTTAGAAAAAGATCAGAATGATCTTTTCTCTAAAGAGGGGAAGATTGGCATACCTGAAGCAAGTTGTTTTATTTTCATCAGTCAGGCACATGGTCCTGGCCATAAAAGCATAGCAAGTACCATCCAATTCCTCATGAATTCATTTTATATTAGGAATCTTAGGCAGCATGTACAGTCTTTTGTAAGATCATGTGAACCATGTATGAGAACACATCCAAATATTCCACACAAATCACAGCATGAACATTTGCCCCCTCCAGCTGCTCCTTTTACACACTTACAGATTGATTTTACTCACGTACCCAAAATTGGTAAGAAACAGCAATACTTACTGGTCATAGTTGATCAGTTTAGTAGATGGCCCGAAGCCTTTGTGACATCCAGGGAAGATGCTAGGACTGTAGTGAAGATTCTTGCTACTGAAATTATTCCCAGGTATGGCTGCCCTCTGCAGATTAACTCTGATAATGGCCCGGCTTTTGCCAGTAAGGTTACCCAGGAACTTGCTAAATTCTTGCAAGTTACCTGGAAGTTTCATATACCCTATCATCCACAGAGTTCAGGGGTAGTTGAAAGGATGAATAGGACCATTAAGGAGAAGCTTATGAAAGCTACTGCAGTAACATGGGTAAATTGGACAAAATATCTACCAGCTATTTTAGCTGAGATAAGAATGACTCCCCACAAGGTGACTAAATTATCTCCATTTGAGATTCTGATGGGACGACCTTTTCCCACACCCTGGGCCAGGGAACCGCTTGTTATAATGTCTGGGGATTTACAGCTAATACAAGAACAATATGTACAGGAATTGTTGATGAAACTGAATGGTATATATGGCAATGTTTCTTCGCAGTTTCCCTTACCTTCACAGGAACCTACTCATCCATACCAGCCCGGTGACAAGGTGTATATCCGTCAGCTGAACAGGACCAAGAAAGGAGGATACCCTTTTGGACCACCTGCTACTGTGATTGCTGTAACCAGAACCGCTGTCCTCACAGATTCCCACGACATCTGGATTCACGCATCCCGAGTGAAGCTGTGTCCAAAGAGGGGAACCAAGGAAGACAACACCACTCCTCGCTCGGAAACAGAAGAATTTCTCCTCAGCGAAGCATCATGGCTTTTACACCATATCGTAGATTGAGAGGATCATACATACCTGAGACCAAGATTATGTTGTGCGCTATGCTTTCTGGAGTTGTTATACTCCCTCTGATATTGTTCCTTGAATGCCATTATGAGTACAAGTCAATGGCAAGTTCTGGAAAAAAGACTCTGACATGATGAACAATTCTTCAATACCCCCAGCCCAATTAGGCCTTAGCCCCTCATCTAGCATTCGTCACACACGCCCCCTCAAGAACCTTTCTCCACCACCTTTCTATCAGCATGTAATATGCAATCATTCATTCACTGAACGCATTTGGATGAATTGGACAAATAATAACCCTTATAAGTATCAATTACTCATATGGAATGTGTCCACAGCTAATGAAACCGATGCATTATGTTTGTTTGAAGGTTCACGGAAAATTGTTAGATCTTATAACACAGAAATGTGCACAGTTAAGGTTGCTAATTACACTGGTATCTGTGCCACCTTATTTAATATAAGTTCTGATGGTAAGAGAAAACCATCTAAACAGGTTTGGGATATATATTATAAGAAAATTAGTAAGGTTGCATATCAATGTAAACAAACAGGCCTTATTACTTTTAATAATGATTATACAACTGGTACCATTAATTGGAAAAAGGGACAAATGTTAGTCATTATGAATGACACTGTAATTGAGAACTATACACTACCTTATATTTTTACACCTTATTACTGTCCTTTATCCTCTAACATAGAACCAAAAGTCAACAACGACACACACACACCTATTCCATCCACATGTGTTAATACAACTGTCTTCTTACAAGCTGTACATGTGTCATTAAAAATCACTACTCCTGTTGTAACATTATGTAACACAGCAAACAAAAGGCAGAAAAGGGAATGGTATGACACACTGTTAGGAGGTGCTGGAACCACTATGGGTATACTAAATAGTATAGACATGGAGACCCTCAAGAATAAGTTAAACACAGCCAGTATGCATATAGGGACTGGTTTTCATGCTACTGCAAACTGGGCTCCAACTGTTGTTAAATCACAGGTTACAGGATTGGATTTAGATAAATCAATGTATAATTATTTAGATAATTTAACTGTTGCAACTATGAAATTCACAACAGGTCTAAGTAATTGGAGTACTTGTGCCATCAGGTATTTATGGATGCAACACCAAAGATCGGCATTAGAAGACATACTAATGATTCCTAAATTAGAGAAGATTAGAGGAATGCTTAACCTCACAGATAATGAATGGTTACTTCTGAAACCCCAATCCACTAAATGCAATGAATGGTTAACTGGTAATGTTTCACATTTTTCATGCTCATGCTATTTTACATTATATCATACAACATCAAAGGATGTTAAATTAGCTTGTCAATTTAACACATTACCAGTACCAGTTTATGATCTCTTTGCCAAGAATTTAACCTGGTGGGCACCCACATACACAGGGGACTATATTTTTCCCAAAGATAATATGACCTATTCCCTTAAACACTGTGTTCTCACTGACAAAGGATATGCATGTCGACACTCGTCCTCTATTTACGAACCATGTTTACTCCAAAATGAACTTAACAAATGTATATGGCACATATATCCTGAAAATTATTTTACTATGACAGAAATAAGCACACGACATATCTGTTTAGCAACTAATCTCCCTACAAAGATAATTACTAGCACTACAAGTATTAATCTACCTCTCCCTTTTTCAGGATGTTTGACTAATATTACCTGGTTAGATCTTAATGGCACCCAATATTATTTCAGCAACACAATCACTTTAGACAAACATGTTAATGCCCTATTGGGCTCGCTGCCTTTTGAAGATTACCATTTACCTCTTGAGACTATTGTCTCCTTAATGAAAGGAAAACAAAATATGTTTAAACATCTTGTTACACATAATGATGCTCTAGTACACACACAGGTAGCCACACATATCCTAAAAGGAGAACTCCTTAAGGTGAGTTCACAGATTCAGAATGATTTAGTCCATCATTGGTACGATGCTTTTACTGGTTGGTCTCCTACTGGATCCCAGATAATGAAATCATTCTTCTATCCTCTTGTTATTATAGTCCTGATTTTATTGTGTATGATTTTGTATAACTGCCATCTTACTTGTACACTGAGAAAGAGAATACAGAAATTAATCTATAATGCAGAACAGAAACAATTGGAAACTCTCCTCTCTGCCACTGGAGGCTATCAACCCATCTTTAAAACTGGGCCTTAGGAATTACCACATGGGAATCGAGGTGAAGAAATTAATGAAAGTCCCGCAGGGAGTGACTAGCACCCCTGAAAATACCATGTGGAAGTTTCTCTGTCCTGGTAAAATTTTATTGATAAGATGAGCAAATTAATTGCTCAAAGAGGGGGATGTAAGAAATATGAAATAGTTTCATTGTTTATATGTATTTTATGCTTTTATAAGGTTTATAACATGATTATTGCTGACTGAAGGGATATTGAATACTTAAAGTCAATATGCTGACTGTGACAGACTAAGGTATTTCTTCTATAGGATGTAAGACAATGCTAAAATTTCAGGATGTCTTGCCCATTCCGATTTCAGGATATTATTTTCCAGACGTATGCAAAAAAAAGCTTATCTTCCCATTGTCAGAATAACATGTAATATATAAGGAAGTAATAAATCGTATAATCTGTATTGTATTGCATATCTCATGACTAAGGTAAACAAAACTGTATAAATGCTAGCTTCACAGTAATACAGATTGAGAACTTGTTAAGCACCTTCGTGTCTGTCTGTTATTTGCTAAGCAAGTCTCTCCCGTCAATTGATGTGGTGAACAGAGGATCGAGAACCGAGGGTTGAGTCCAGGACAGCATTAACCCTTTCACCTACTGGGATTGTCTCTAAAACAAGGCGTTGCCAACTTGTAAAGAGGCCATACTAGATTTAGTGTTAACAAATGGAGATTTTTTCTAAAATTAGAATATGTGTAGAGGAGTCACTATCAGACTGGAGGAATTTAAATGGAGTCCAAGAGAATGGGATTATTTAAAAGTCGACTACTGAAGGCAACATAAAATTGCATTAGGCTTGTCAGTAAAAGCAAAAAATTCAAGAAACCACTGTGGTACTCCGCAGATGTGGCCAAAATAGTTAAAAACAAAAAGTTAGCATTTAGTAATTATAATAAAACCCAGAGTGAGGGAGACAAAATGATCTATAAGATTAGGCAGAAAGAGGCTAAGTAAGTTATAAGAGCTTCCAAATCACACACAGAAGAGAAAATAGCACAGTCAGTAAAAAAGGGGGACAACACTTTTTTTTAGATACATAAATGAGAAAAGAAAAGTAAAACAAGGATTAGTTAGATTAAAAACAAAAGAAGGAAGGTATGTAGAAGAGGATAAAGGTCTAGCTGACTGCCTTAATGAATATTTTTGTTCTTTATTTACAGATGAAAATGAAGGAAAGGGACCTCACTTAAGAAAAAGGATAAATTAGTAATTGTAACAAAACCCTGTATTTTTTGCCTGAACTTAATCTACAGTGCTGCTGGAGGGGTTAAACAGAACCGAATGGCTGGTGTTCGTTTGACTATTGCTACCCTAACAAACCACCCAAAATACCGAACATCAGACCACCCAGGGGAACAGTTAATTACTATTTTACCCCCCAGTGATTGTGGAGCCGTTCGCATGGTTCAGACGAATCCCTTTGTACTCAGAGTAGGTGGCCGCCATTTCGGGACCTTACACGTGTTCGCGGCCATCTTACGCACGAACGGCGGTGTTTGCCTGTGAACGCATGGAACTAAAAACGGATACGCAAACAGGAGAAACACTGCTGAGACCTCCAGGAGCTCGTAAGTTCGTGCTGAAACTACCGAACGACCGGCCGTTCGGTAGTTTTGTTTAAGCATGCATGGGGATTCAGGCGAACGGCAGGATTACTGTGGATGGCAAGGAGTTCGTGTGGTTTTTATGCACGAACGGAGACCGACCGCAAGGCCAAAACTTATGGAACTCTTTTCGGCTGAAAACACTGTGCGGTCGGTCAAAACTTCAAAGACCCATAACTCCCGAACCCCTCAACCGAATGACTTGAAATTTGGATATGCCAAATCCTGTCACTTCCATCTAAAAAACATTGTGCGCATCCGCCCCTGCTTAACGCCAGATGTGACTAAGGTGTTGGTCCATTCCACTGTCCTTTCTTGCCTTGACTACTGTAATCCGCTTCTCAGTGGTCTTAAGTTCTCCCAACTAGCGCCGTTACAGTCCATAATGAATGCGGTGGCAAGGCTCATCTTCTTGTCCGCCCGCACCTCCCATGCCTCATCCTTCTGTCAATCCCTACACTGGCTTCCTATAAAATATAGAGCTCTGGAGGATGAATAAGTGGGTTGGCAATCAGATGCAAGGGGGGGAGGTGTCCAAACTAGGTGGAATTAAGGCCTTAGTGGACAAACAGGTTCTGGCTACCATGGACTCCATTGTTCCTCTTAGCACAGCTTGATCCATTTAGCAGTGTTTCAACAATCTGTATACAGAAACTACTCGTATAGCCCCAGCATATTATTTATAACAATGTAAACTTGCTGTGTTAAATCTGGATCAAGGATCCACAGGAACACTGGTTTTCCAGAACAGGCCGTCCTCTGCTACACAGAGTATTTTAATCTTTTGGGGGACAGTGTTACACCATAATAATCACAAACAGCATATTCCTTAGAAAAGTGTTTTTTTGTTTTGTTTTGTTTTTAAGACAAAGGACCGTTTGTTGAAATCATGGGTGTTTCTGATTCACAGAGTGTCTGATTCAAAGCAGTACAAATATACAAACAGTTTCAACAGTCACACCAGTTACCTTAGCAACAGCAACACGCGGCACGGTTACTAGGTCCAAACGTACACACACGCACAGGATCCTCACACGCTCAACAATATCACGACATCGCACACACGAAATTAAATCAAAAACTATACACTTATTAATGTAACTATTATTCAAACCATACAATTATCCACACTATTAATCCACATAAACTAACGGATCACATAACATTTCAACAATTTCGTCTCTACGGTCATTGTTTATTGTACGGTTAGTAACTATTGTACAGTTTAGACAATTATGGTTTTAAAGTTACAATATCAGTTATGTTAAGACACCCCTTGTGTCTTTAAATGAAGCCGCCATTTAGTCGACCTTCCCCTGCTGCAGTACCAATAATCTCCGTTCGCATAACCGTAGTGCACGAACCAAACTCAGGGGAAGCGGCAATCTCCCAACCGGGATCAGTGAAAGGCTCCAACCTCCCGAACGGAACTCCACGAACAGCTGCTAGCCGCCGAACAATAATATCCACCAAGCGGCTTTCGGTTCCATCCAGCAGTCTCTAAACGCAAATAATAAATCCCCCCAATAACGAGACAGAAGCTCTGCATTGAGGGTCAAACAGGATCTGGCTTTACTGTGGGCTACCTGCCCGTATTTATACAGGTCTCCCACTTGGTGGACACTCCCCTAGGGAACCAAATGGGAGACTTAAATGACAGACAGATATGGGGACATTCCAGACACACAGTTACAGTTTTTACCCACAATGCACTATGGTTCCCTCCCCTCTGCCCTGGAGATAATTACCAAGTAACTCAATTATCTCCAGGACAAAGCCAGTCGCCATTTTAAATATAAAATCATAAAATACATAAAAATATATAACTTCACAAAAACCGAACATTTCCCATTCGCATCACATATCCCCAGATAGCCTGGATCTGAGTGCATATTATTAGCGAATAGCGCTCAGATCCCACACACATAGTTCAATCGCCATGGAGTCAAAGTTCTTACAGTCCTTCGGTATACGAATGACTCCATGGGAAGGCTATCTGGGTTAAGTCCTTTCGTATGCTTCAAACCTCCCGAACGGCCGGTATTCGTATGCTTTCGTGGAGGCAGCCAGGCGTTCCGTTGTTTCAGCGGTGTTCGGCAGGAAAAGTGTCCGTTTTTAGTTCCATAGAAATAGAGCCAAACACCGCTGGGCTTTCGCGTGGTTTAAAATGGCCGCTGCCTCGTGGTCGACATACGAACGACGACCACCCTGAATTCGTTTAATTGAGAAGTGTCTGCGGTTAACCACAACGTTCTAATTGGGATCAATAGGTTAACCAGCAGCACACTTCTCTCCTGGGTGGCCGTCTGTTCGGTAGGTTTGTTCGGGAAAAAACAGTCATTCGTATGGCTGGGCTATAGGAACCAGCCAGTTACACGAACAGGGCAAAATAGACGAATCCACCAGCAATAAGCAGACAGATGGTTCTGTCACAAGTTAGTACACGTGCAAGGTTAAACAGTAATTTTTTTTATTTTTCATGTAATATCAGTAGTTATGGTACAAGTCAGTGGTTATGGTACATGTCATTATGGTACCGTGCGCTATTTTACACTATACACACAATTTACACTCCCACTAGATGGCAGAGCTCAAGCTTTCTAGCATGACATACAATTTAACCAATTCACCAGTTCACCAACTACAGTATATCTAACAATATTTACAATAATCCCAACTATTCTAATTGGCCAGCACCTTGAGAACTATCAAACTATTTACACCAGGATTCGGTTAGTCTACGCTGCCCAAGCACCACATATAGCGAACTAGTGAGAGGAATTTACAACAGGACTCATTTAGTCTGTTTACTCTATCAATAGTCTAGTGATTGAATTTACATGCCTCCCACTTAGTCAAGATAGGTTGAGATCTAGCAGTCAGAATGTACACCAGAATCTGCTTAGTCTCCTGGTCCCCCCGACCAAGTGACCAAAATTTACACCTAGACACACACCGGTGTCCGACATGAACTATTTACACCAAGATTCAGTCTGACCCAAACCACCTGTATTAGACGGGCTGACTACAGAGCGTCTAATGTCAACATAAGCGGTGCACCTCGCTTCTTCCTTCCAGAGGGAAGGGGCAGATTCCATACAACCAAACCAATTCCAAATACAAACCCCTTGTGGGCCTACCACTCTAACAGTATTAATCTTACCTCTTTGTTCCTGGACCTGGCCTTCACACTCATCGACGGGGAACCCTGGTACTCACTGCGCAGAAGCCGATGATCTCCTGGACAAAAGGCCAGTGGCGGCGAGACGAAAGGAGGTCCACGCAGAAGTTCAGGGGTGCTGCCGTGGAGAACATTGGTAAAAGTTTACCGTCTCAAATCTCTGCGCCGGCTTCCATGCGATGAGGTTCCCGGACCCAATGGACCAAAAATGTTACCGAAGGTATAATAATAGCTTTTTTACAACTATGGTGTCAAGAATATATGTTTGTATTCCTGACACTATAGTGGTCCTTTAATCAAATTAAAGGAACATTCTGGTCACCAT